GTTGAGCGACGGCTATTTTATAAAATTTTTTTCCCAAGTATTGTTTAAACAATTTCAAATAAATTTATTTGTTAAAATAATAATAATAATGATACGAAATAATAAGTTTTTTTATAAATAAATAAAATACTGATTTGAAATTTTGTGTTACTCAAAGTCACGTAAAAACAAAAAAGAAAAAAAAAAATTATATGATTTTACAATAGCGGGTAAGGGGGAGGGGTAAATTAATAATAAATAAATAAATTAATTAATAAACTTTGTAATTTTTACGCGTACGTACATTTCCGTTTCCGTTTTTTGCATACACCTACACGGGATAATTTTTTTTTTTTTTTTATACGAGCGATAAAGAATTCTATAAAATATTTTATTAATTTTTCTAAATAAATATTTAATAAATTTTATTATTTGTTTGTTACTAAACTCTTTGTATAATTTTAAAAAAAAAAACGCCGCGTTTTTATTTTTTTTTAATAATATTTTTAAATTTTTAATTTACCGGCGGGTCATCGCGAGCGACATTAATCATCGATAGATTTTACGCGGGTAATATCATAACGATTTGTCATTTAGTAATTTTTAAAATATATTAAATAATCGTACAAGTACGCGGCGTTAAAAAATTAAAAGAAAATTTTCACCTGGAACGGGCAAAAAAAAAATAAATTGCAAACATTACACGCGTTTATACACAGCTGCTAAAATATTTACTTATAATAATAAACATCTGGTTTACCAGGTGAGGTAACCTATGAAAACGCCGCGTTTTTTTTTTTTTATTTATTTATTTTATTTAAATTTTTATTTAAAAAAAAAAAAAATACCCGAATGAAACAACAATACGATAAATTTTTTGTAAAATAATTTTTTACGAAAAAAAAAAAACAAAAATTTCCTTTCGTACGATTGTAACACGCGCGTTAAATAAATATTTCGAGATAAATATAATAAAACGCCGCGTCAATATTGTCATATTGACGTAGCGAAAAAGACTACATATTAATAAGTACTAAATCAAACTATTTGCTGCGAGATATTATTATTATTATTATTAATATCATTATTATTACTATTATTATTATTATTATTATTATTATTATTATTATTATTATTATTATTATTATTATTATTAGTAATTCGTATACGTTGTCCAAAAAAAAAAATTTTCACGCCGTCAAAGTAGAAGAAAAAAAAATTCGGTCATCGATACATTCAAAAAATTTTTTCCAAATAAAAAAATGGCGGACAAATTAATTTCAATGAAACGAAAGCGTTTTTTTAAATAATCAATAATGATGATGATGATGATAATAATAATAATAATAATAATAATAATAATAATAATTAACGAGTTAAAAAATTTTCTCACGCGGCGGAAAAAAAATAAATAAAATTCCGATCGGAAATAAACAAAAAAAAAAAAAATTTGTACCATTAAATTATTATTATTATTAATATTTATATATAAAAAAAAAATCTGATCGAATCGATAAATCAATATCGATTTTTTTTTTCTTTTCGATTTGTAAAAGAAAAAAAAAGAAACGAACGTGACGAATACCCAATAAAAAAAAAAAAAAATTTATACCCAAAGGACGTAAATTTATTAAAATATCATCATCATCATCATCATCAACACACACAACGTTGAAAAAAATAAAATAAGATTAAGTTAATCAGTTAATAAACGTTCGGATTATCTTTTTTATGTAAAAAAAAAAAAAAATTTAATCCGTATGTTAATCCGTGGGATAATCATCACGGATTAAAACCATTAATCTTATCGTTAATAAAATGTGTTACCTACAACAACCAAAAAAAGAACAATCAAATTTATTTATTTATTTTTTTTTTCGGTAGCGAACCTTTCTCTTAGTCATTTTATATTTACTAATAATATTATTAATAATAATAATAATAATGATGATGATGATGATGATGATGATGATGATAATGCGAACAATAAATTTTTTTGTGACCAATACTAAAAAAAAAAAATCGAAAAAATTAATTTTTTGTTTTTTTTTTGTTTTTGATTCGATTTGATTCGTCGTCAAAAACGAAAACAAAACGAAACAAACAAACAACAAACAACAAACAAGCTTATTTCTTTAAATAACTTTTTTTGTTCGCTTGACAAAAAAAAAAAAGAAAAAGAAAAAATTTTTATTTATTTGAACGTTTATTTTTGTTCAGGGTCTGCCCCGTACGATGACCGATTATTTTATTCAACTGATAAGATTTTATCGTTGTTATTATTATTATTATTATTTTCGAATATTATTCTCTCTCTCTTTCTCTCTCACTCTACCTCTACCTATGCATATATTAATATTTTCTTTCTTTCTTTTCCATTATTTATTTATTTATTTATTACATTTATCTCACGTTATTTTACGCCGCATTTTCATGTTAATAACTAACTAATTAAAACGATGCTAAATTAAATTAATTTTCATATTTTTTTATTTTTTCAAAACTCATAAAACGACGCATTATTATTATTATTATTATTAATTAATGTAAATTATTAATAATTAACGCGATATAAATTTTTTTTATGGAGTTTTATACATTAATTAATTTTTTTTTTTTTTTAAATAAAAAATCATTTTTCGAATAAATTAAATTAATTTACGGTCTTTGGGTAAAAGTTAACACGATGACAAAAACTCACGAATATTATTTTTTAGGGTTTTACGCCGCAGGTTACAAAAAATAATAATAATAATATTAATATGTCGCGTTTCTATCCTCTTTATTTTCACTTTTGAACATGACAAGATTTTGTGTACCTGTCGGGGTTTTAAAGAATTTATTCCAGGTTTTACTCCCGATTCTTTAGAAATAATTGCTCGAATATCGGTGGTGCTGTCGGCCTTTTACTTCCGGTAGGGGTTTCTTCTTCAAATTTCCTTTTATTGAACGTGGTGGCATGGCTCCCAGTGCTGCTCCCACGATGACCGAAATAGTTTCTGTCCTTATTCCCCACATCCTGGTTATTTCTATTCCCAAGTTTTTGTACTTCAGCCTCCTTTTGTCCTCTTCTTTAGCTGTCTGATGTTTTTTTCCGCCGGTACGGATACTTCAATTAGCTTACGCCATTTTTCGAAATAATATCCGGTTTGTTGGCTGGCACAGTTCTGTCAGTGTGGTGGATTTGTTGATCATACAGAACTGTGCATGAACCTGCTGTCGTAACCGGGCTTAAAAATGTACCACTCCTTGGGTAATCCATCCATTCCATATTCGCGACAGGTATTCCAGTGAAGATATTTACAAATTTTATTGTGCCTTTCTAAGTATTCATGTTTTGCCAATATCGAACAACCGGAAATTAAATGATCCATTTTTTCCGACTGGCAAATTCGGCACATGTCATCTTGGCGTACCTTAAGAATTTCCTTCTGTAAGTTTGCAAATCTTGAACACCAGTAATAAACGCTTCCGTTTCAACTTTAAGTTTTCCACGCCCTAACCAATCGGTTATTATTATTATTTTATTAATTAACAATTAAACAATTATTATTATTATTATTAGTGATTTTTTAAAATTTAATTCGTTAGTTTTTTAAATGTTTAAATTTTTTCAGTTCGTTAAAACTTTTTATAATTATTTTTTTAAAATGATTCGACGGTCAAAATGTAAAAAAAAAAAAAATCAATCAAGTCGGAAAAATCAATCAAGTCGGAAAAATCAAACAAACATAATCATTCATTATTATTATTATTAGTCTTTCATTTTTCTATCCGAAATAATAATAATAATAATAATAAAAGAAAAATTTTACATTTAAAAAAAAAAAATAAAATCGAACGCATGAAGTGAAAAATAATGACTCTTAATAAGTGTTTTCTTTTTTTTTTTTTTTTTTTTTTACTTTTATTATTTCGGGGGGCCTTTAAATTAATAATAATGATAATAATAATAATAATAATAATAATAATAATCAATTCGAATCACGATAAAATAAAAATAAAATGAAATAAAAATAAATAAAAAAATACAAACGATAATTGAAATTTTTTTTTGTTTTTCTATTTCAAATTTATTACCCGTAATTATTATTATTCTATTATCATTATCATTATTAATAACATAATAATAATAAAAGTTAATAACTGAATAAATAAAAAAAAACCATTCATTATTTTTCGAGAGTGTGAAAATATGAACGTAAAATTATTTTTTCTCAATGCCTCAATAAAAAAAAAAAAAAATTTCAATTTCGCAATGAGAATTTTTCTTTTAAACAGAACTTTCTAGAACGTTTATTACTATTATTATTATTATTAAATTTCGTTAAATTATTTAATTAATAATATATATATATATATATATATATACGTTACAAATTAATTAAATTTATAATATAAAAAATTTGGGTTTTTTTTGTTCGAATTCGACATAAACGCATACGCAACAAACGGATTTACGAACAACAAAAAAAAAACGATTTTTCGTTTGTTTGTTTGTTTGTTTGCAGTTAATTTTTTTGTTAGTTCTGTTGGAAGACGCACACGCTGTCGGATTTAAAAAATCAAAAAAAAAAAAAAAAAAGTTTAAAAATAGATTTTGAATCCCTCGAGATCAGCTCACGCTAAATAAATACGATCAGTCTCACATTTCTTAACTTCGTGGCCAAGTAAAAAAAAAAAACCATTAAAATTTTTTTCTTTTCTTTTTATAGTCTATATTTATAGAACGGGCGAGAAAACAAGGGTACGATGATATTTTAATAATTAAATAAATAAATAAAAAATATTTAACAAAAAAAAAAAAAGTGAAACACGCGCGGAAAAAACCAAAAAATTTGACAAAAAAAATTTTTGTTTTTCATATATAACAAAAAAAAAAAAAAAAAAAAAACAATAAAAATGTGAATGATACAAATTTTTTTAATCATTATTAAACGGCTGTGCTTTTGTAGTGATTGTAATATAAATAATAATAATAATAATAATGCTTGGACCGCCACATCATTTTCAAACTGGAGATGGTACTCCACCGGGAGGTTTAAGTCCTTTGCTACCAAGTTTCGGATTTACTCAGGAACAGGTTGCATGCGTGTGCGAAGTGTTACAACAATCGGGTAACATAGAAAGGCTCGGACGTTTCCTATGGTCTTTGCCAGCGTGTGAAAAATTACACAAACACGAAAGCGTTTTGAAAGCCAAAGCCATTGTTGCTTTTCATAGGGGTAATTTCAAAGAACTTTATAGGATATTAGAAAGTCATCAGTTTTCACCGCACAATCATCCAAAGCTCCAAGCTCTCTGGTTAAAAGCTCATTACGTCGAAGCTGAAAAATTACGTGGTAGACCATTAGGTGCCGTTGGTAAATATCGTGTAAGAAGAAAATTTCCACTTCCTAGAACGATATGGGACGGAGAAGAAACTAGTTATTGCTTTAAAGAAAAATCTAGATCCGTTTTGAGAGATTGGTAAGTTTTCTCTTCTTTTTTTCTACATTCAATTATTTCATATGAAAACTATATATATAAACATTCAATTCTATTGCCAAATTATTATTATTATTATTATTATTATTATTATTTTCCCTTTCTTATTTAAAACAATTGCGTCGTTGTCGTTGTTGTTGTTGTCGTTCGAGTCGTCGTCGTCATCACCGTCCTAGTAGTTTTCATTGTTTTATTTATAAAATTTAATTTTAGCAATTTCTTTTTTCTTTTTCTTCTTTTCTACTACCACTACCACCACCTTATCCCCCCTTTCTCTCTCTCTTTTTATCTCTTTCTTAATTTTTAAACAAAGATAAACAAACAAACAAACAAATAATAATAACAAAAAAATTTTAGCTTAATTCAATAATTACATACAATGAAAATCCGCCATTTTGTTTTTGTTTTTTTGTTTTTCATTCATAAATTCCAATTACTTTTCTCTTTCTTTTGTTAGTGAAATTTTATGTTTTGTCTTAATAATTATCATTATTATTTTTACATAATTTTCTTTTACTCTAATCAATTGATGATTATGTTTATTGATTAATAACTTTAAATTTTATAATTATTTCAAATACATAATTGTTATGTAAACTACATCTGATATTGATGATAATACACACACACACATACAATTCAATAATTATTTAATGTTTTGATACATAATGAGTTTGTTTATTTATTTATTTATGTATTGCAAATTAGTGTTGTGCATTATTATCATTAAACAACAAGTAATAACAATACATAAATTTAATAACAAATTTCCTGCACATCATGAGATATGATACATAAATAAAGTTATTAATTATTAAATTAAACATTAATAATTATTAATTATCCATCAATATTGTTATTGAATTACATTAATAATATTTTTAACACATAAAATAATTATTAATCATTCACATTCATTCATTACATAAGTTATTGATATGTTTGAATTCTTTTTTTTTAAATAACAAATTTAAATAAAATAAACATTTGTTAATGCAAATAATAATAATAATAAATACATGCATGTATTAATAATAATAACAATAATAATAATAATAATATTAATTTGATATTAATTTTGTTAAATGATTTTTAATAACTCTTTTTTGTTTTGTTTTTCTTTTGAAAAATTATACATAAAAACAATTTTTAACTTGTTTTGCAATACATAAGTTTAGTAATAATACTAATAATAATAATAATAATGAGGATTCATTTTTTTAAATAAATAAATAAATAACTCATATAACAACTTGTTTTTTCTTCCATTAAATTACTAAGACAATACAAAGAAAAATGGAAGAAGTTAAAAGAAGAATGGGGGGGGGGAAGAAAAACTTGTTAACTTTATTACTTGTTTATCATCTCCCTGTTATTATCATCATCATCATCATCATCATCATCATCATCATCATCATCAGCATCATCATCTTTACATTTGCAATTTGTTCATTTTTCTCTCTTTTTAATCTTCATATATGTGTGTGTAAAACTAACCAATAAATTATTCATGTAATTATTTTATTACTTATAATTAAACATTTAAATCAATGATAATAATAATAATTATTACTGCAATGTTAAAGATAATTAATTGCAATATTAAAAAAATTAATTAATGAAAAATAACATTCAATTTTTTATGTAAAATAATACCTGAAGCACAACCTGTGACACAACAAATAATGACAATTATTAATTTATTACTAGTATGTATTTATTAATTAACCTTGTTAATAATTAAATAGATTCAAATTATTCATTAATACTTCCATTTTATTCTTATTATTATAATTACAATCACATTTTTCAAGGAATGATCAATTTTTTTGTGTGTTATAGTCAAAACCCATAATGGTACTTACATATTAATGATTTACATTCGGCCATTTTTTTCTTTTTTCTTGCATAATTTAATCACAATCGTTATTTACAATTAATATATTACTTATAAATAATGAATAAATAATAAATAACTTATTAAATTAAAACGTTTTTAACTATTTTTCATTTCACTTTGACCACACACATATAAAATCGTCGTGCATAAATGACAAACCAATTGACGTAACCGCGCGAAATTTCCTGCCACGATTTTTTTAATAGGATAAACAAAAATGACTACCAGAGTTTTTGAGCAACTTTTTAAAAACATCAATTTGTTTTTCTCTCCCCATCATTTTAATTAATTTTTTTTTTTTTTAATTTGTTTTAAATTTATTAACTGAATAAAAAAATTACTCTAATTAAATATTTTATTTTATAATTTATTTTAAAAATTATTACAACGATTTTTATTTTAAATACGACGAAATGGATTAAATAATTTTTTTTGTTTTGTTTTGAAATTGATTTGAAGAAGAAAGCCGCCATTTTAAAAATAAATACGTATTAATAAACGGTTAGAATAAAAAAAAATATATTTTTAAAAACGTTTTGTAATTTAACTTGTAAATAATAAAAAAATTATTTATTTATTTATTAATAAATATAAATTATTATTACGCAACGACAACGACGACGAAGAAAAAAAAAGTTTTTTTATTGAAAATAATAAAAAATGTCGTCACCCTCTTTCTTTTATTTTTTAAAAAAAAGGTCAAATATTTTTTTTTTTTTTCAAGATCATCCATGACCGAGAGAGAGAGATGGATAAAATTTTTAAAATTTTCAATGATACGAAAAAAAAAATAAAAAGAAATCTCAGCAGATTGTTTTAATTAAATAGGTTACACATGTTTTTAAAAAAAAATAAATAAATAAATTTTGCAATCGTTCCACGCATGATGAAAATTATTTTTAAATGTTCCCGAAAGAATAATAATAATAATAAACACAAACAAAAGGTTTAATGTGTACGAAATAATTAATTTAAAAAAAAAAAAGAAAAAAGAAAATTTGAATCCATTCTTAAAAAAACTTTATTTTTTAACGATGATTCTCCTTAAAAACAATTAATAATAATAATAATAAATAAATTTGATTGTTTTTATTTCGAATTTAATAATGAGAATAAAAATTTGGTTTTGTTCTTCTTCTTTGTTCGATAATTATATATCTATTTATAATTTAACACATCGGGTTTAGTTGGGCGTAGTAAACTAAAAGACTCGCCACCGTTGAGCTTCTATTTATTTTCTATATATATATTAACTACGATATCTTTTTGTTTACGTAATTTTTTTTTACTCTATGACGCGTTGATTGTTTCCTTATTGCCACGACAACAAAAAGGATGCGATATGAAAAACGTTTCATTATCGTTTTTATTTTTATAACGTTTTTTAATTAATTTTAAAAAAATTTTCCTGCGATTCCAACAACCAGAACAACAACAACGACAAACACAACAACCTCTTGCAATAATCGTACGAAAATTTTTTTTCAATAAATTTATTCCCTTGTTATCATTATCATCATCATCAAACTACTTTTTTATTTTTAGATAATAAAATTTTAAAACTTTTGGGAATTTACTTATCACACACACACACACATTATATTTAAATACACCCACCCGACAAACCGACAAACCGCCCCCCTCGTTATGTTGGCAATGTGGTTTTCATCATCATCATCATCATAATCCCAAGAGTCCAAACGCGTAATAATGATAATATCCGTACGCGTGACACGTTATGGAATTTTTATTATATCTCGTTTATTACAATATTGCCAACTTTAGAAACAAAAAAAAAAAAAATTAATCACACGGAATCGTTAAAATTTTTAACTCATACCCGAATCCCCCCCCCCCAAAAAAAAAAAAACAATTTAAAAAGGTTTTAACATGAAAAAGGTGGTGTGAAAATTATTATTATTATTATTATTATGGTGGATTTTGTGATTTGTGTCAACACTTTTTTCAACACAATGGCGACGGTATAGAAATTTATTATTAATAAAAAAAATTTACTCGAATCAATTTTTAAAATCTAAGGAAGCCATTTTTTTTTTTTTTATATACACGAGTTTAGATTATCAACCCCCCGAGGGGGTAATTTAATTATTTTAACGTTGATTTTAAATTAAAATTTTTTTCAATTTTAAAATGTAAATTTATGTAAGATGTTTATTTTTTATTTATAAAAAAAAAACTATGAGTAATAAGGGGCATTAATAATAATAATAATAACAATATGATGTGTGTAAAAAACGGAAATCAATTCGTGTATACGCCGCCATATTTGTTTTGACAGTTATTTTTTTTTTAGTAAATTCCCTAAAGGTTTCGATGAGTTTAATATGATGATAAATTTGTTTTGTTTTTACTTTTAACATAACCTCGAGCACGAAAAAATTATCAATTAACAACAACCACAACAACAACAACCACAACGACAAACACGATTGAATAATTAATTAATAATTATAAATTTTAAGTTTAAAAAAAAATTTCCCGTACGAAAAAAAACAATAATAAAAAACCGTTAAAGATAAAACAAAATTATCGTGTCACCAGAAAAAAAAATTACGTGATGAAAATTTAAAATAAAAAAAAAAATGATTAATGAAAAAGATGTTTTGTTTAGGTTTTGTCGTTTGTTGTTGTTGTTGGAACCCAAAAAAAAAAAAAAAAATTAATAAATACTTTTAACGGGAGCTAAAAACTTTTTTCAAACTCTCCCTTTTTCTCACTTTAGTCCCCCGCCTCTTCCTCCTCCCCCTCCCCCCGAATTTAAATCCGATTTATAACGATTAAAATGACAAGTTTATGACGTTTGATTCGTGTAAATAGATAGATGGAAAGGGTTTTTTTGTTTTTTTTGTTCATTCGGAGTTAAAAAATCTTCTGCTTGCGAGTATATATAAATATTTTTAAGCTCCCGAACTAAATTTTTTCATTAGGTCAACAATTTTATTATTATTATTATTATTTCATCCCCCTCCCCTCCTTAAAACCTAGCAAACGGGAAAAAGGTTTCTTTGTTTAACAAAAAAAAGTATTTGCTTTTGCCATTTTGTACAAAATCTTTACCCTGTTCTACACACGCATTATTATTATTATTATTATCATCGTCATCATCATCATCATCATCATCATCATCATCATCATCATCATAACATAACCGAAAAAAAAATTTTGAAAAAGTAAAAACAAACAAAACGAAACCGTAAAACGAAAATGGGGGATTATTTCCGTTAAAATTTTTTTATTATTGTTATTATTTTAAATTTGTCTCCTTCCACGAATTTTTTTTTCTTATTCGCGTATAATAAAAATAAATAAATTTAATAAATTTTAACGTTTCGTTATGGGGGAATATTTTTTTTTTTATTTCCTGTCGCCGCAATCGCAATAAATAACATCATTTAATAAAAAAAAAAAAAAAAAAAAAAAAAAAAAAAAAAAGGCAAATTTAAATAAAAAAAAAAAAAATTTTTCTTAACGATTTACACCGCTTTGTCGTAAACCTGTCAAACGATAAATTTTTTAATTCCCTCCTCCTCCTACTCTTCCCCTCTCCCCTTACCCCTCCTCCCACCACCCATTAAATTTATTTCCTAACCGAAAGAATTTAAATAATAATAATAATAATAAGAAAAATTTATTGTTTTTAATTGTTATATACCTTGCGTGTATTTATATACTTGATTAAACGAAACGTTCTTCTGCTACCCATTATTATCATTATTATTATTTATTTATTTAGAAAAATTTAATTTCTATTGCGCGTGCGTATATATACATTTATGTGACGCATTTATTTTTTATTAAAAAAAAAAAGGGGGGGGAGAAAGAAGGGGGGGGCATTAGATTCCATAGATTACTATTAGTGTTCATAGTGTGTCAGCCAGTGTTAATTTAAACAGGTTACGATTATTCCCTGAGGTCATGTCTTGGGTTCTCTCTCTCTCTCTCTCTCACTCTTTTGATTTTTATCATGGAATTCTCCATAGCACCCCCACCACCGCCACCATTTTTTTTGTTTTATTATCCATCTTTTCTTTTTGTCTTAAATTTTTCCACGCGTGAACTCGAATCTAAATAATTTCAAGGTGGGTGTTCGGATTCAAAATTACAACGACGACGACGATTTTTTCGTGTCAGGAGATTTTTTAATTTAATAAATTATTTAATTTTCGATTATTTAAATTTATCGAAATGATGATGATGATAATAATAAAAACAAGATAATTAAAATTTTAGCTTTTGCAAACTCGTACTTAAACCAAAAAAAAAAAAAAAAAAAAAAATGCGTGCGAGAAGTTGAAAAATTTAAAACCGGTTAAGTAAATACTATTAATATTAATAATAATAATAATAATAATGTTTCAGGTATTCTCACAATCCTTACCCGTCACCGAGAGAGAAAAGAGAACTCGCAGAAGCGACTGGACTGACAACAACTCAAGTTTCCAACTGGTTTAAAAATCGTAGGCAAAGGGATCGAGCCGCCGAGCAAAAGGATGGGTCAGTAACACTGGAAAAAAAAAAAAATTATTATTATTATTATTACGGTTGTTGTTGTTGTTATAACAATTTTATGTAGTTTGTGCGCTTTGGGGATTCATATTTAAACGTATTTAAAACATCCCTTATATGAAGTGGTTGAAATATAGATAATAATCATTGAGGGTTGATCGTTTGGAAATATCAAGAACCATCTGCTGCTGCTGTTGATAAAAACTTATGAACTAAATTTTTTCCTTTTTTTTTTAAAAAAAAGATTCTGACAAATTCTTTTCTACCCGAAATTTTTTGCACATGCACACACACACACACGTGTTATTAAGGGATGTTTTTTTTTTTTTTAAATAATTTTTATCCCCTCCAAAAATTTTTTTTAGGGGTAAAATTATTAAGAATTTTTTTAAAGGTATTTACTTTAACGACGATTTCTTCGTTATATTATTACAGAACCGGAAGAAGTTCTTCTGCTGGTGAAGAAAAAGGAATTTCCGCAGGTCCATCCGGTTTGGATTCAAGTTCAGAATCAATAGATGGTGATATACCAACTTCGTCATTGGCTTTAGAAAGAAAACCCGGTTTGGAACTTTCTCAGGTTCGACCATATAATTTCTCACTCATTTTCCCACCTGAAACATAAATAATTTTTTTATAATAATAATAATAATTTATGTATGGTAAAAATAAAATCATTTATGCCATTTATTATCATACCAGGTATCAAACGTTACTCAAGGTCACGGTCCGACGGAGTCTTCATTTGGAGAACTTAAAGGAAGTAATGCTGGATCTTATCAGGCCCATGCACATGCTCATCATCAACTACTAGGTACTCACGGTGATATACCATTACTACACGATTACCATTCTTTGTGACAATGGGCTTCTGGCTGTTCTTACAGTCAGTAAAAATATAATAATAATAATAATAATAATTCCTATTTATTCCTTTTCCAAAATTCTTCTTCTTTTCCCCCTTTTTATTATTATTATTTCCTCCTATCCATTGTTTTTATAATTAAAAAAAAAAAAAAAAAAAAAAAAAAACTCATCCGTTTGTAATATACAAAATAATAATAATAATAATTATTATATTCATAACGATAATAATAATATTAATATATTATACACCCCCCCATACATACCCCCCCACATATATATATTTTTTTGTAGAATCTTATTAAATTTTAATAATTTTTGTGAAATGCAAAAAAGTAAAAAAAAATTTAAATTAAATTATAATTAAATTGTTGTTTTGTAAAACAAAAAAAAAAAAAAAATGATTATGATAATGATGATGATGATTTGTGTTGAAACGTAAGTTTTTATAAAAGAAAAAAAAAATAATACTTTTTACATGTGAAAATTAAATTTTCTGCAAAGTAACAATAAAAATAAATAAATAAATAAATAACAATTTTTTTGTTTTTCTTTCAATTGATCAATGCCCAAAAACATCAAAAACCTCTGATTAATAATAATAATAATAATAGTAATAATAATAACATTTTTAATTATTATCATAACGATATAGCAATTTTTTTTTTTAATCGAATATTAATTACAAATGTAAAACGAATGTTAAATTATTATTATTACCACTCGTAATCACGTGGTCTTAATATTTTCGTCGGATAAAACATTCATTCCAGGTTTCTACCGCCCCCGATCCCTAAGGAATAAATGATTGAATATCACAGTAATGCTCCTGCATGCCAAAATTTGGTTTTGTTATAACTCATGACGTCACAACAAAACAAGTAAGAGTCTTACTGAGACCATCTTATTCGATGTTGTAATTATTATTATTACTATTATTATTTACATAAAATTTATCTATTTTTAAATAGTTTATTAAAACATTAATGATTTTTTTTTCATTCATTTTCAAGTAAACCGTTACAAACTGTTAAAATGTTATCGATTAATCCTCCTCCCCCGCCTCCCCAAAAAACTTTCACATAAAAATATAAAATATTAAATTAACTTTGCAGAAATATTACTATTATTATTATTTTTTTAAACAATTTAATTTAATTTTAAATAAATAATTATTAAACCCTTTTAAAAACGTTTCATTTTCTTTAACCTTTTTTAAAAACCATCATAAAACAATAAATTAACCGTTTAAATGATATTTAAAATTCCTTTTAACGGTCATTAAGAACTCTTAAAAAGAAGTAAAAAGTAGTAAAAAAACAAGCAACAAGTTTTCAAATTAAAAAAGTCAAATTGAAATTACAATTATGTCCATTATGAGAAAATTTTTTTCACATTTGTTTCAACCTTCAGGTATGAATGTGTCAAATGTTATGTTGGATTCAAAATTAGGTGGCAGAATATTTGTAATGAGAGAATTTTTTCTTTCTTCTGGTAGTGGAATATTTCTTGATGACGATATTTTCGGACTCAATTGTTGTATGTGATCAAAAGTCATCAAACCAGAAAATCTTTTTTTCGGACTTGATTTTTTTAATGCTTTTTCTGTCATTTTGTCTTTCCTAATCGGATTGTAACCATCTTTTAATTTATTCGATATTTTCATGATTTCTTCGTTTAATTCTAAATGTCCTGTTTTATGTTAAGGAATATTTGCATATTAATAAAATTTTGATTTAAAAAAAGAAAAAAGAAAAATTAATTATAAAGGATACTGATGTTATTTATATAAAGTTGATTAGTTCCTAAATAATTGTATAATTTTCCTTCTATTAAAACTGTATCACCGATTTTATACTGACCGAGTAAATTTGTGTAACTATCGTAAATATCACTCCAAATCGATTGCAATCCCTAAAAGTATATATAATGATAATTAACACATTCGACAATATAAAAAATTAAATATTGTTGAACAGTAGTTTTAACCTTTAAAACATTTAATTTTACTGCATTTAATTCATCCTCTTGCATGGTTTTATCATTAAATATAGAATCATCCATTGAGATATCGGTGACACAACTTTGATTAAAACTCGAATCGTTATTTTTTTTAAATTTTATCGTTTCGTTAAATATTCCCTCTTGTTCCCTTTCAATAAGACTAATTGCTTTTTCAAATTGATCTTCGCTTAATTTACAAATAATTACTCCCGTTCCATCATCCACTACGAATATAAAAAAACATTTTATTTAATAAATAAGTAAATATAATTGTTTTAAATGAAGTGCAACATGAAATATTTACCGTGATAGAGAAAATTTTTAGAACCTATTTGTTTGATTTCAATTATTGCACCAAATATGATAACGTTTAATACCGATATAACTGTTTTAACGTTATTTTTTATAACGATTCCTTGAAACATTTTTTTACTGTTAATTTTTAACTCGTGTAAATCATTTATCCATAAAAAATCACAATAATTACTCGTTGTGTAATCTTTCATTTTGATTTTTTACATTGAAAATTGTCTTTCACGACATAAACAAAGTTTTACCGCGATAAGTTTCATTGACACGATTTTAAATCTTCCGCCACGTTAAATTTGAAAATGGTCTTTGTCTTTTTGAACTTGTTAATTATTATATGATTTTCAAGTTAATTAATGTCAGAGCGTTTTGTATATTAAATACATAAACATTTTTTATTTTTATAAAAAAAAATAATAATTTATATTAAATTTGTTTTCTCATAAATGTTTTCGAATTATTTATATTATGAACAATAGTTGTAGTCTTTGGAGGATTTGTCAAATTTTTAGGTATTGAAAGAGGAAGAGGTGGAGGAGGTGGCGGTGGTGGTGGTGGTAAATTAGATGATTCTAAAGGAGT